TNTGCTAAATTATTTTTTGTATACATTCACAATGTCAAGCTATTTTGAACTCTGTCTTATACTTTGACTGTAATAGGCACTTTTCTTGTATCATGGAAGTTTGTAAGTGCATTTGATTTGATTGTTTACTGGTTAACAGACCATAAACTAGTTTGTGTCTGCCATTGTAGACACCATTGTGTTTTATAACAAGGCATTTGATTGGATAATATTCAACTCTCACAAGGGAGATAAATCATATATTTAAAGCTTGCTAAAATGTCAAGGTATTAGACAGAGTTTGTAATAGCTTGACATTGTGAAGATGGTAGCAAACTTCTGTGATACAAGACAAGTGTTTAATGATGTCAAGGTATCAGACAGAGTTGGTAATAGCTTGACATTGTGAAGATGGTAGCAAACATCCATGATACAAGACAAGTGCTCAATGGTGTCAAGGTATCAGACAGAGTTGGTAATAGCTTGACATTGTGAAGATGTAGATTTTATATTTGCATAAAATATTAGTTTCTTTGTCTAAATTTACTTTGCTTTTCTTTCGCTTTTATTATCTAGTGGTTTTATTATTAAGTAATTGTTTTAATGCGGCCATTTTTTAATGCCATGTTGTCAAATTTCCTCATGATTTTAAGCCATTCTTTTTGCCACGTTGTCAAATTTCCTCATAATTTTAAGCCATTCTTTTTGCCACATTGTCAAATTTCACCATGATATAAAGCCATTATTTTTGCCACATTGTCAAATTTCACCATGATTTTAAGCCATTCTTTTGGACATGTTGTCAAATTTCCTCATGATTTTAAGCCATTATTTTTGCCACATTGTCAAATTTCACCATGATTTTAAGCCATTATTTTTGCCACGTTGTCAAATATCACCATGAATTCAAGCCATTCTTTTGGACATGTTGTCAAATTTCACCATGAATTTAAGCCACTCTTTTTGCCACGTTGTCAAATTTCCCCATGATTTTAAGCCATTCTTTTTAACGTGTCAAATTTCCCCATGATTTTGTCAAATTTCCCCATGATTTTGTCTAATTTCCATATGATTTTGTGTAATTTCCCCATGATTTTATCTAATTTCCCCATGATTTTGTTTAATTTCCCCATGATTTTGTCTAATTTCACCATGATTTAACCAATTCTCTTTGACACATTGTCAAATATCCCCATGATTTTGTTAAATTTCTCCATGATTTTGTCTAATTTCCCCATGATTTTGTCTAATTTCCCCATGATTTAACCAATTCTTTTTGACATGTTGTCAAATTTGCCCAATGATTTTAACCATTCCCTTTTTATTTCAGAATTAATACCGAAGCCTCAGTCTGGATTTGACGACCCGCCATTATACCTCTGTCTCCGAGTCGGTCAGCCCAAATTTAAAGAAGTGTCACAAACATGCCCTATAGAGAGTTACCGTGGCAACAAGAAGAAACCTGAATATTGGTTTTCTATCCCACGAGACAAGTAAGTTTTGGGATGGGTTTTTGGAATTTCTTGGCGTGGTATACAGTAACCCCAGTCCAAATCACATCCCCTCTAAACT